TGTTTCCTTTGGTTAGTTGGATAAATTAAGTTCTTAATATAATGTTTTTTTGGTTGGTTAGATAAAATCAAAGGTTCTCCCGGGGTAAGTCACGTTTCGTTCGTCCAACAGATGAAAAGCTGCGTCCATGGAGTTGCAGCGACACCGGTGTGCACCTATTTCACTTCCTGCTTCTCTGGGCGGGTGCGTGGCAGCCAGGGGTCGTGCAGTGGAAGATCCAGCGCTAAACATCTGGAGTACCACAGGAACTGGTCGGGCCTTCTTTACTCTGGACAACGGCAGCTTTTTAACCAGAACAGCAGTGTGGGGCGTCTAACAGCCGAGGACATGAACAAAGCAAGAAGAGCCAAAAACCCTGAAGCCAAGAAATATAAACAAGTGGTATGAGCATTTTTTAATTGTTGGACGGTGACCAGTTATCCACCATTACAACCACTGGAGTGCTCAGATTGTTTCTCACCGTTCAAGTATTCTTTTTTTTTTAGCTCAGTGAAAACTCCAGAGAGAGGAGGGTGCCCGTCACTCGACTGGGAAGGCTGGTGAATTTTGGAGGTAAGAGTTTTTTTTTTTGTTGTTACTGACTAACCAGCGGTTGGGTAGGTTTTTAAAAGTGGCTCGTAAAGCGTGAAACTAAATGGCAGATGTGAACCCTGTCCACGGTCAGCGGAGTTCTATGAAAACGAGATGAATCACTGTGAGCGCTACAGCGTGTAAAGCTTCTAGTTTGCTTTGTTTACAGTGTTTTTCCTTCACAATGTGCTTTTGCATGTCTCAATTTTATCTGATATTTTTGTTCTTGACATATTTGTGTGCGTTTATTTCCTCATTACTGTTGCAGACACGAAATTATCCTCTTGTGAAAACTTGTTCCCAGCAGCAGAGTTTATTTTTCTTTGTAGAGAAGTGAAGATTTCAGACAAACAATGCATTTAATTGAGGACGACAAAGATAACGTTATTTACACTGATGTATCTTTTACATCTACGTTAAATTTATTGTTCTGGATAAAGTTTTACAAGGCAGTAGGCTATGCTAGGTTATCTAAACGTTAGCTTGCTAACTTGAGAGGCACGTAGCTAATGACGAGCAGGTTGGAGGATTGAAGAGAATTTATTATTGGTAATTTATTTTACAGATGAGTTCAAATAAATCTGCCATGCTCTGACAAAGTATTGCTCCCTGCCTCGTCTGTGCTGAAAGTGAAACTTAAGTGAACGGCCATGACTTGAAAGCAGTCTTCATGCGCCCTCTGCTGGATACATTGTACAATTACGGCTGCTTCCCAGTGTTTTAGGAGTGAAAATTAGAAGTGTTTATATCAGCGCATAATGAGCCAATTATCTCCGATACGTCCCCAAACGTCTACATCGGACAAAAACTACTTTGGTGGATAAAATTGTTCCCTTCACTTTCCACGATCCGTCACTCTGCACCGCTTCTGACAAGAAAAACAAAAACCTCCCTCAGTTCTTCTTCAGTGCAACTTCTACCCACTTGAGTATCTTACAACAAAAACATTCAGGTTTACGTCTGTTCCCTGTTCAATTCCAGTCCAGAAAAACACTCGCCTCCGAAATGACAAAACATTCACTTTTCAAATCCCTCCGTGATGGGGGACATCGGCATACCGCTCGGTTGTACTTTTTTATTTTTATTTTTATCTATTTCAGGATTGGCAGTCAGCCTCGGCATTGGAGCTCTTGCAGAAGTGGCCAAGAAGAGTTTAAAACCCAAACAAGAAGGTAACAGGAAGAGGTTATTGTCTTTTTAGCGTCGGATGTAAAATAAAAATAGATTTGCATATCTGAGCTGCCTTTGTGCACGTTTTGCTAAACCTGCTATCAGACTGTTAAATTAAAGCCCTGTCTAGGGCATAATGTCAGGATTTTAACTAAAATCATCTGATGAGAAGTGATGAAGTTGTCGTTTTGGTCTGATAACATAATGTTCTACACCATGTCATGTGATGTAAGATCTCAAATAAAAAACACTTAGTTTGGGATGCACCATATTGGATTTTTGGCCGATATGTTAAAACTTATTTTACCGATGCCGATATTTTTTCGTAGACCTCCTTACAGAGATTACGTAACTTTCTCTGCAGTGGAATTAAAATGCTACAATGTTCTGCACGGTCTTTGTCAGTTTGGCTGCTGCCAAATGCAGACGCTTAAAAAGTGGACTGAAAATGACGCAACACTTCAACTTGGATTATGTTTGATGTCACATTTATTCATGACATTTATTCTCCAGCACAATGACAACACTCGAACAGTGCAAATTTGTACATTTTCACAAATCTAAGCTCAACCTGTTCACAAGTGAAAAATACAAAAGTAGTAGTGCCTTAATCGTATACTTGACTGTTTCTAAACTTAAAAATTAACTTGCTAAAATTAACAGAAGCCTTTTATATCGGTGAGTTCTTTTGATGGAATGTCCGATATTTAACTTTATCGCTAATATCGACCGATACCATGATTTTATCGTGCATCCGTGCTTGGAGTATGTGCTGACGTCTTGGCTCCTGCCTTGTCAAATTTGATCTCAGTCGCTGTAAATTTGCCGAATTGGAGCCGTTTTTGTGACGACTCGTGTCGAGTGTCTGTGCAGGTCGTTTGATTTGGGTTAACGAGTTGTAGATTCACAGCCAGTGTTTCTGTGAGCTTCAGTAAAAGTGGCGCCGTGGTTGATGGCGCAGGCGTTAAACGGCTCCGCTGAACGATCGTTTTGCTTCTCAGGCACCAAAAAGGCCGTGTTGGATTCCAACCCTTTCCTCTCTGAAGCGAACGCCGGAAGAATCGTCAGGACGCTCTGCAAAGTTCGAGGGGCCGCTCTGAAGATCGGGCAGGTCCTCAGCATTCAAGGTGAGGAAACCAAAACACGGCTGAATCTCTGGAAACTGACACATTACATTTTTTATTTTATTTTATTTTTAATGTATTATTATTTAATGTAAAGCTGAAAAACAAAAATTCTCAGTGATTCTCATCAAACTGACGTCGTGTCGTGTGAAAGTCTGGACGTAGTTAAAGCCTGTTTGGATGCAGGTAAATAAAGGTTCATTCGCTCACTGCTGCTTCACAACAAAGCTGCAGACTGAAGAAGACTTTCGGATGAAAGACGAAACGTTTCTACCTTTTTTTGTTTGTTTGTTTTTTGAATGTCCAGAGGACCAGACTTAACTTTTTTAGAAAGCTTCGGTATGTTTCAGATTCAGTTTCCATACCAGCAAACGTCACTTTTCAGCTAAATCGCAGATTTTAAACAAAATACGTCATTTACGTGAAACATCTAGGTCCAAAAAGATTTTTTTGTGGGGTGGGGCGTGTCAGAGGCGTGTCAGAGGCGTGTCGGAGGCATATCAGGGGCGTGTCAGAGGTGTGTCAGAGGCGTGTCGTGTCAGAGGCGTGTCAGAGGTGTGTCAGGGGCATGTCAGAGGCGTGTCGTGTCAGAGGTGTGTCAGGGGCATGTCAGAGGTGTGTCAGGGGCATGTCAAAGGCGTGTCAGAGGCGTGTCAGGGGCGTGTCAGAGGTGTGTCAGGGGCGTGTCAGAGGCGTGTCAGGGGCGTGTCAGAGGCGTGGTACATGGCATAATTTCCCATTGATTCAAGGTTCTTTATTTGCCTTACACACCCCATGTGACACGTGGTGGAACAAAGTTGTGTACACAGGGTCCCAGTTACATCAAACAAACTGGACTGGACTTGCGTAGTGCTAGCTTAGCGCTACGTTAGTGCCGGCAGTTTTCGACGGGGGTGGGGGTTAGGAGACGTCTGTGGTATCTGTTCTGTTCAGTGCCCTGAGGTGACTTCTGTAGTGACTTGGCACTAAATAAATAAACTGAACTGTTAGCTAGCACGTCTGTGTTGCGTGCTGCTAGTTTTTAGCGCTACGTTAACGTTTGAACAATGTAGCTGCCACCAAGATTTTGTCCTAAGATTTGAAAAGTCCAGCTGACGGAGTTCTAGAGAACACCTTGAAGGAGAAATATCCTGTTGGGGAGAAAGAATCCAAGTAACACAAGATATCTGAAAAGTAAAATTGTCAAAATCAGTGATGGGGAAGGAAGAGTGGGAAAGAAAACCACGGGAAAAGGAGGTGGATGCTGTTCCAAGTGGACTGCGAAGGAACGGAGAATAAAAGTTATGACGCGTAGAAACTGTGGCGGCGCCAAGGTAGGAAGGAACCTGTAAATTATTTAGTTTTAATAATTACAGGCGGGCTGACAAATGTTTTTAGTTTTGGGCACTACGGGCGTTAGGTGTGTCACCTTTTTCATCCCTCGTGAGTTTGCAGGTACGAGTTCCTCTGGTAAATAAATCCTTCTGTCAGCAGCTAAATGTCAACGCTGAAAATAAACTGCAGCTCAGCCGAACTCGGCTGTTGTGGTCTGAACAGACTGGAGGCGTCACTAAGTGAAGTGTGATCACCTAAAGCTGTTCCCAGGATCTTCATGAACAAAAGCAGAAATAAGATTCCAGCTGGAAGTTGGCGTTGCCACATTTGGGACGAGTGAGGAATTTTCCTCGAACATTGTGGAAAACAGATAGTTGTGTGAACGTTCACTCTATTGTTTTCCTGTTTATATTTATTATTCCGATTTCTATCCCTATTCCAGCAATTATCGTCCCGTGGTTTTTAAGCTATTTCAGCAATTTAGGCATCAAAACATTCAGGTGGCAGGAGAAGGGTTTTTGGTATTGGTGCAACTTTAGCTTTTTGAAATATTTAGCCTTTTCTGCCATTTTTGTTCTCATAGAAAAGAAGTGAGCTCATTTTACCTCCTTCAGATCTTCAGATCTGTTTACAAACTTTTACTGCTCCTTTCACATTTTTTTCAGCTGTTTTCAGCTGTTTTGTGCTCATTTCAGATTTTGCTATCTACATTTTTTTTTCTTCTAACTTTTCTGCTGATTTCAGCATTTTATGCGCCTTTCAGCTTATTTCTCCAAGTTTCAGCTTTTTCTGCTATTTCAGCTGATATTTAGCTAATTTTAGCTTCTCCAGATAATTCCACATTTTCTGCACTCATTTCAACTTCTTTCAGTCTAATTCAGCAAAAATGTGCTCTTTCCACTTCCTTCTGGTAGTTTAATCTTCTTTCTGCTGTTTTAGCTACTTTTCAGTGTTTTTTGTGTTATTTTCAGCTTTTTTCAGATAATTTCCACTTGTTTGTGCTCATTCCTGCTTCTTTCAGCCTCATTGGACAAACTTGTGTTCTTTCTGCTTTCTTCTGCTAACTTAGCTTTGTTCTTCCATACTCAGCATGTTTTTTTTAGCTAATTTCAGCTGTTTTTCAACAAGTCCTTCTGCAATAATTGCTGCATTTTCACTGTAAATGCAATTTCTCTCGTTGTAAATTATAATGGACTGCGTGCTGCTGTTTAGATGAGGACACAAAGATCTGAAACATGTAACTCCACAGTCAAGAGGTTTGTTTAGCTGTTTATTAAATTGGTTTGGGGTCCTTAATACAGTATATAACTGCGTGCGCTCGTTGTCACTCGTTAGAAAAATGAAATGTTTCCATCAAAAAATTCTGCACTTCCAACTTTTACTGTGAAGCTTTTAGCTACACGTTCAGCTAAGATAACTTTTAAGAGCTACAGGGAAACAAAACCTATAAAACTGTAAATAATCCACACGTATAGCTAAATGCTACATGTTTTTAGCCTAAAATATAGAAGCAAAATATTAGAGTTGCTATAAATGTGAGACTTCAGGATATGAGTTCACGTGATATCGATGTTTGTCATCACATTATCAAAAAGAGCAACGCGAGTTTCATAAAAGTCTTCTCGGCCTGCAGGTACACAACTCGTAGCCTTGATGCCCACACCTGGTTTAGATTATAAAGAGAACAAAAGACAACCTGAGACAATTCTGTCAATTTAAATTGTCATCACGATAATAGATTATAACATCACAAGTTTATGTTCAACCGTGCAGCTTTACTTTAAGCACTGTGTGTAGCTTTAAGTTATTTATTTAGCTGTAGCTAATTGTGTAGCTTTAAGTTATTTAGCTGTAGCTAATTGTGTAGCTTTACGTTATTTAGCTGTAGCTAATTGTGTAGCTTTCAAGTTATTTATTTAGCTGTAGCTAACTGTGTAGCTTTAAATTATTTATTTAGCTGTAGCTAATTGTGTAGCTTTAAGTTATTTATTTTGCTGTAGCTAATTGTGTAGCTTTGTGTTATTTAGCTGTAGCTAATTGTGTAGCTTTAAGTTATTTAGCTGTAGCTAATTGTGTAGCTTTAAGTTATTTATTTAGCTGTAGCTAACTGTGTAGCTTTAAATTATTTATTTAGCTGTAGCTAATTGTGTAGCTTTAAATTATTTATTTAGCTGTAGCTAATTGTTTAGCTTTAAGTTATTTAGCTGTAGCTAATTGTGTAGCTTTAAGCTGTAAGTTAGAAAAACTTAGCTTTAGCTTTTATCTGCTAATTAAACTGCTTAAAGCTAAGTGGACTGTTGTATAGAATTAGTTTTTAGTATGTATTATAGCTAAAATACAGCTTACACGTACACATTTAGCTAAATATTTAGCTTTTACCTACAAATGTAGCTGCTGTTAAACTTGGCTCATAGTTTAGTTTTATTCATTTTAAAGTGGAGACGATGAGAACTTGTTCATATTAGCAGTTAATTCACTACATTAAGTGTAAAGTGTGTGTCGGCGTGTTGTTGTTTTCTGTTGTTCTCTCAGATGACGCCTTCATCAACCCTCAGCTGGCTAAAATCTTTGAGCGAGTTCGGCAGAGTGCGGACTTCATGCCCACGAAGCAGATGATGGTACGTATGAGCTGAAACGCAACATGGCCACCAGTTCCTCCAGTGCATCTGGTTTTCCCTTCTTCCTGCAGAAAACCATCGACGATGATCTGGGTCCAAACTGGAGGACCAAGCTGGAGTACTTTGAGGAGAAGCCGTTCGCGGCTGCGTCCATCGGTCAGGTGCACTTGGGGAGGCTGAAGGACGGCAGAGAGGTGGCCATGAAGATTCAGGTGAGATCAGTGTTTGCACAGATCAAACATCCAACTGGGAAATATTTGAGGAAATAAAAAACCGTGTTCCTTTCAGTACCCAGGAATAGCCAAAAGTATCGACAGTGACGTGAGGAACATCATGACCGCTCTGAGTTTGAGCAACGCTCTGCCTCAAGGTGATCCTGTTTGAGCGCGTTATCATCTGGACGATAAGTTTGTCACCTCCGCTAACGTCAACATACTGAGCCGCAGCGGCGCCGTGACGCGTGTGCTTTTCTCTTTGCCTCCGTCCTTTGTACAGGCTTGTTCCCAGAACACCTCATTGAGGTCATGAGTCGTGAACTGGCGCTGGAGTGCGATTACATAAGAGAAGCAAACTGTGCCAGAAGATTTCAGTAAGTTCTCCGCGTGTTTCTGGTAGAACATTTAAAAATCACTCCTTTACGCCTGTCGAAGGAAATCTCTCTACTTAAACGTTCTCTTGTCCTCACCGTCATTCTGATGCTCTCGAGAGTTTAATGAAAGTTCACACGCAGATCAAGGCCAAAGTTAAAACAAGGCGTTTGCCTTTCTGGACCATGACGCTGTCGACCATAAGTTTGTGAACAGGCATGTGACGTGTCGTATGGAGATGAAGTTCCTCTCGTTTCCTTTGGGATTAATAAAGTGGCTTTAGTGTTTCAGGGAATGTGCAGCTGTTTTGTTGTTGTTTGTGCGGCAGAGAGCTGCTGAAGGATCAGCCGTTTTTCAGCGTGCCCGACGTGATCGACGAGCTGAGCAGTAAGCGCGTCTTCACCACAACGCTGGTGTCTGGGTTCCCCCTGGACCAGGCCACAGAGCTCTCTCAGGAGCTCAGGAACGAGGTACGCATCCGACCCGACTTGCCCTGCAGGGTTCTGCCAAAGTATCGGACCTGGGGAGGCGTCGAGGGCGACGCAGCGCCTTTAACCTGTGAGATGCGTGAGCCAGTCGGTTAACTAAAACCACCACTGTTTCCACCCCTCTGCCAGATTTGTGAGCAGATTTTGATTTTGTGCCTCCGAGAGCTTTTTGAGTTCAGATTCATGCAGACGGATCCAAACTGGTCCAACTTCTTCTACGACCCCCAAATTCACAAGGTCAGTTTCTCTCTTTGACCGTACTCTTCGCAAAGTTTGAATCCAACACCCCAAAAGAAGGTCCAGAGTTTCTGAAGTGTCCTCACTCAGTGAAGCAAAGCACCAAAAAAAGTTAAAAAAATAAACTTGATGTGAAGAAAAAAGCAATACGTGCACGTTTCTGTGGGTTTTAGTTCTGATGAGTTCGTTTTCTGCTCTTCTGTCTCCAGGTTGCGCTGCTGGATTTTGGAGCAACACGAGAATTTGACAAGAGTTTCACCGACTCGTACATCGAGGTGACTTAAAGACAGTTACTCTTTGTTAGCGTCCAGATGTTTTGCGTGCACGTCAGTGTGTTTTCGTCGCCCGCGGCTGAAAGCTGCAGGTGGATAACAACGTCTCTTACAAAATGTCATGAACTAGAAAACAGATTAAATTACCGTAATGTCCAGACTGTAAGCCACTACTTTTTTCACACGCTTTGAACACAGCGGTTTATATTTTATGTGTGTGCATGCACGTCAAGGTTGCGTGCACCATGTTTCATGCACACATCTGGATGTATCTAAACGAGCATTGCCTGAAAGTGTGTAAATAAATGCAAACTTCGTTTTTACTGTCGAATGTTTCAGCCACAGGAAACTACAGAAACTACGACAAACAACCTCACAGCAACTAAGTTGCTGAGTTAAAGTTGCAACGCTGGGTTGACTCCAATCAGCTGAAGATTCAGTTTCAATAAAATGTGGCGGCACAACAAAAATTTTAAATGTACTTTTTTACATTTATGTTTTTTGTTAATAATAAATATTTGTTAAAAAAATACAAATTGATGCTCCCACACTTTTTACTGCTTCTATTTAAAATATGTTTAAAAACACGCAGCCGAGATGTTTGTTGTACAAATATATTCTTTTCTTTTCTTATATCTGGTAAATTTATAATCTGATGTTTGAAAGGATCAGTTAAAACTAACTTTTTGTCCGATTGCAGCAAACTTACAAAAGAAGTCGTCGTATCAAACGTTTGGTTAGGATCAAATATTTTTAATACAGTATTCTGATCCAGTGTTTGACAACTTTGTGTTTTTAAATGTTTCTGTTGTGCAGATTATTAAAGCAGCTGCAGATCAAAACAGAGAACGGGTTCTGCTTAAATCAAGAGAAATGAAGTTCCTCACAGGATACGAGTCAAAGGTAAGAAACCTCTCACAAAGGTTCATGGGGAGAAATCAGACACGTTATATTTGTTTTTATTTATTATTTGTGTTGTCAGTAAACATGTGGTTCCTGACGAAGTCTAAAAATCTTTTAAATTTAATCTGTCAGAATCCAAACGCTCCCATAATAACCCTCCAGTGTTCCCATTATAAATACATGTTCTGATCCAGTAATTATCATCATGAAATAATTCATTCCTCACTCGCCGATACCAAGTACTGAGCCGGAACATAAACACAACACACCGCCTTAAAAGCACGTCTCTTAGAGCTGCTGCCTCTCAGCCAGGTCGCCGGATCAGATCCCGGCTGTGGATCGTTCTGGGTTGAGTTTTCATGTATTCTTCGTGCAGCCTTGGGTTTTCTCCGGGTACTCTGGTTTCCTTCCACGGACCAAAAACATGCACGTTAGGCTGATGGACGTGACGCGAACGGTGCGGTCACTCTGCGCAGGCAGAAATGTAACCCGGAGGGTGAGCGAACCTCCGACAAACATCTTGAGCTACCTGAGCTCGAGGTCCCTCTGGGCTGGGTGGTCTTCCCAAAACACCGGACAGGAATAAATAAATAAAACTTGTTAAAAATGTATGAAGGCGTACTGATGGGGAAAATGTCCCCGCTGTTTTCCTCCAAAAACTGCCGTAAAAATAAAATAAAAAGTTGATTAAAACAAGACAAAACAATAAAACGTGGAGTTTTTTTTAAAGACTAAAAACCCCAAGAGAGCTCAAATGTAAAATAATATCCAAAAACATATTTTTAATTTTAGTTTCAGGCTGAGATAGCTCTTCAAGTTCAAGTAGTTTATTGTCCTTTCAGAAATCTCACTGAAGCCAAAATCTCATGAACGAGTTTTAACGAGTTTTAACGAAAGTGATATTTGGATGCACAACAGCTGCCGCAGCGAAGTGACCTTTGAAGAACACGAGACATTATCGTCTGTTTTCAAGATCCGGTGAAGAGGTGCCCACTTTGATGTGCTGGGCACCTCATGTTCAGCTCCTGAACGCTGCACTTCTTCTTCCAGGCTTTCCCTCTTCAGGGGTCGCCACAGCGTTGCACTGAGCTCCCAAAGTTATTTTTATAGTTTCACTATCAAACTGGCTCCATCCTTCATCTTCCACTTGTTCTGGACTCAGGTCTCGGGGATCTTGAGCAGGGAGGTCCAGACGTCTCTGTCCACAGCCTCTTCCAGCTCTTCTGGGAGGACTCCAAGGAGTTCCCAGACCAACTGAGAGACGTGGTCTCTCCAGTGTGTCCTGGGTCTCCTCCCAGTCCAACATGCCCGAAGCACCTCCCTAGGGAGGCGCCCAGGTATCATCTTTACCAGATGAACCACCTCAACTGGCTCCTCTGGATGTGGAGGAGCAGCGGTTCTACTCGGAGTCTCTCCTGATAACTGAACTTCTCAGCCTGTCTCTGAGGGAGAGTCCAGCTCTGCAGAGGAAACTCATTTCAACCTCCTGGATCCACGATCTCATTCTTTCAGTCTCTACCAGAGTCCAGGACCATAGGTGAGGGGAGGAACGTAGACCGACCGGTAAACAGAGATCTTTGTCTTACAGCTCAGCTCTTTCTTCACCACAACGGACCGGTACAGAGTCCACAATACTGCAGATGCTGCACCAATCCATCTGTCAATCTCACGCTCCATTCTTCCCTCACTGAGATCAAAACTCCAGAGATACTTGAACTCCTCCACTTGAGGCAGAACCTCGACCTGAAGAGAACAATCCACTCTTTTCTGACTGAGGACCATGGCCTCAGATCTGGAGGTGCTGGTTCTCATCCCAGCCGCTTCACACTCTGCTGTGAACCGCTCCAGTGAGAGCTGAAGATCACGGCACGATGACGCCAACAGGACCACATCATCTGCAAAGAGCAGAGATGAATCCTGAGTCCACTGAACCGGACTCCCTCCACCCCCTGGCTGCACCGAGAAATCCTGTCCATAAAAGTTCTGACCAGAATCTGTGACAACGGGCAGCCCTGCTGGACTTCAGCTCCCGCCCTGAACGGGTCACACTTACTACCGGCAATGAGAACCAAACTCTCGCACCACGTGTACAGGGACAGAACATCCCATAGCAACAGGCCCCAAACTCACGGATCACCCCACAGTGTTCCCTGAGGAACACGGTCGAATGCCTTCTCCAAGTCCACAAAACATGTAGACTGGATGAGCAAACGCCCATGACCCCTTGAGGACCCTAGTGAGGGTAAAGAGCTGGTCCAGGGTTCCACAGCCAGAATTGTTCCTCCTGGATCTGCGGTTCGACCAACGATGGGTCTCACTTCTCCCGTAGCCCTGAACAGACCTCACCAGGGAGCTGAGGAGAGTGATGGCCTGTGGTTGGAGCACACCCTCCAACGCCACAGAACGCTGGGTCTTCATGTTCCCCTGATATTTATGAGCTGCTTGTTCTGTGTGCAGGCGATGGAGTACGCCCACGTGGACGCGGTGATGATCCTGGGAGAGGCCTTCTCCTCGGAGCAGCCCTTCGACTTCGGGGAGCAGAGCACCACCGAGCGCATCCACCGCCTCATCCCGGTGATGGTGAGGGAGCGACTCACGCCGCCGCCAGAAGAAACCTACTCCCTCCACAGGAAGATGGGCGGCTCCTTCCTCATCTGCTCCAAGCTAAAAGCCAAAATCTCCTGCAAGAACATGTTCCAGGAGGCGTACAGGAAGTACTGGGAGGGCGGACACCCCGAGTCCCAGCAGTGAGGACCAGGCAGCTTCACACAAAGAATAACTAGAATTAGTTTTCTTCTGACACATGAAGCTTCTGGAGTGTCCTGATGTTTTTTATTAAACTCTGCGGCGACGCAGGCCCAACGCAAGCGAGCAAAGAAACGTGACAAAGTTTCCGAGGCGTCTGGTCAGTCGCTTGTTTTGACCAAGACGAACTTCAGCTTTACTCTCTGCACCGAGTATCTGAACGTTTTCAGTAAATATATTACCTGTACTGTACACCTTATAGTAACGTGCCTGTAGTACCCGAGTACTCAGTCTGACCAGGAGGATCAGAAAAACTCCTTGAAAAAAAAATGTAACGCCAAAAATGAAAAGTGCAGCATTCCTTGGAGGAATGCATATCGCCCGCCGCCGTACATGAGCTGAGAAAAGACCGAGTCTGTTCAGTGAAACTTTAAAAACTACGGGCGGTGAATAACTCCGATACTACCACTCCAAATTTTAGCTCAGTACCGACGTTTAACCATTTCTGTGGTTAGCTCTGGCAGCCATTTTGAATTTGACGGAGACGATAAATTATCCAGTAATTTCTTTCTGAGAGCTTCATTGAAATTGGTCCACTGGTTGTCGAGATATTTTGCTAACAGCCCAACAAGTTTTATCAGTTAGATGTTCCTCCAGTAATAACTTTTTATAAAAAATAAAATGCGTAACCGCACGGATGAACACATGATTGTGTGAAGAGTGGCTGCACTCTGGATAATTAGGGTCTCGTCACGTTTAGCTTCAGATTGTTTGAAATTATTTTTCCTTAAATAAAATCCAAAGCTGAAATCAATTTTTTCTGAAATAACGAAGCCTTTTGTCCGGCTCTGATTTCTAGAATCGTTCAGTTTGTTTAAAAGAAACTGAACAAATTATTTTTTTAATTCATGATAATTGCTCTAAATCCTTTTTGGACCCACTTGAAGTGGGTGGCGTGTTGGTTTTGTTCTGCTCGTGATGGTCGGGCGTGAAAACTCCAAGAACGATTGTTCTGTTCCACTCCCGTTTTTTTTTTTTGGAGAACGTAAATTCTCCTGAATGTTTGTGATTTTTCTGAACTGGTTTTGTTGGAGGTGTGAAGGTGCTTCGGGTGGAGCGCCCCGTCATTTCCCTCCAACCAATATTCTCTGCCGCCTTTTAAAAAAGGAACATTTTAAGATGGCCGAACATCTGTTACGTCTGCCAAAACAACTCCAAAGGGCTCAAATATGTAAAAAAATTTTGTATGGAATTTTTTTTCCATTTTTAATAAATTTTGAAAATAAAATCAGTATAACTGGTTATCAAGTGTGGAGTTTTTGAGAACAAGAGGACCTGATAAACTATTATACAGCAATCTGTAGCCATGACGCCACTGGCATCAGACACATTTGTAATGTGGGGAAGACGAGTGTGTCCGGGGGGGGGGGGGGGGGGGTCTGGAGCTCCTCCCCCAGAAAATTTTGAATAAAGTAGATGCCATTTTCTGCTTTCTGGTGTTTTAACGAGTTGTTAAATGTCTACATTTATCTACGTCACATTTGATTCAATAACTATTTTAGAGTGCAACAAGAAGCAGCCTGACCAACAGTTCTCCTTGTGTGCATAGAGCACGCTCTGCTTCTCTCACGCATCCAAAGCCCCCCCGCCCCGGTTGACAACTGCCAGCACCAACGTAGCGCTAAGCTAGCGTGCAACACAGAAGTGTCTCTTCTCCTACCCCTGCCCGTTGACAAAAACCCCAAAGAGATGAGCGTCCCCTGCCAAGACAAGTGACCGAGGAGAAGCACTGCAGGGTGGTGAGTTGTAACCAGGAAAACCAGGACTGGACTTTTATTGTCTTGAGTATTACATTAATCAAGTGGAATGGATTAACGAAGAAATCGAAAACAGCGCAGGGTGAACTAATATTTCATGGTAAAAGTGTGTGTGTGTGTGTGTGTGGGGGGGGGGGGGGGATGTCCAAATATGTTTTTAAAGTGAAGGTGACATGTCCCTTTCACTTATAAATACACCTTGTACAATCTGTGACCTTGACCTTCCAGCAGGGGTGATGGAAAATGCTCGCTCCGTCTTGTGATTATTCAAATGTGTGTGAAGCTTTTTTTAAATGATCAAGTGGATCAGAAGTGACATGTTCGATGTGTCGGTTTGTGTTTTGAACAATTCTCAGCTGCTACCACACCAAACTTTTAGCTCAACATCTAAAAAAGTTAAATCTGGTCCTCTGGACATTCAAAAAAACAAAACAAAGCAAATCAACAAAAAAAAAAAAAAATTGTTGATTTGCTTTGTTTTGTTTTTTTGAATGTCCAGAGGACCAGATTTAACTTTTTTAGATTTTTCTACCTGGATTATTGAGCATGCATCAGGATATTTTAGCTCAACAGCTGTAAAATCAGCCGAGTTAGCCATTGTTGCATGTGGGTGATTTCTATGTCGGCATAAAGAATGGAATATTTAATTTTAATTATTTATTTCACTTATCCAATTTGACAAGTGAACACAGACACAGAAATCTAACAAACTGAATAAAATGACAAACAAGCAGAAAAAGGCATCAAAGTTCATGCTCAATCATCCAGGTACAAAATCCAGTAATAGTCAGGTCATCTGGATAGTTTATTTTTTGTGGAAAGACGTTTCACCCTCTATCCAGAGGGCTTCATCAGTCTGAGGAGTCCCAAGTAAACTTCTCCCCACTAAGCAGAACTAGGAGTAGTAAGCAGAAAAAGGAGCAAGAAGAAGAAACGCTTTCTATAAACTTCTCCTTAACAGGAGACTTTTTTTTTGGTCATTCAAATCATTCCATAACTTGACTCCAATAGGAAACATGCTTTAAACTGAAATTATATTTTAAAATCAGATTTCATTCTAAAATCTAAATTTAAAACACTTGCATGAAGAAATGTGAAAATTCTGAACAGAGAGCATAAAAAGTTAAATCGTCATCTGGACAGATTCTGTTTTGGAAGAAACGTTTCGTCATTCATAGGAAAGATTTCATCAGAGGCCTTGTTTTATGAATTTTGTCAAAGTGCACCCATCTGTATTTTTCTTGTTTTACAGAAATATTTAACTATTAGAAATGTTTTTTTTTTTTTTTTTTTTTTTTAATCTATCCCAACAATGTTCAGTCAGGTCATCTGGACAGTTTATTTATTTTTTGTTTTTAAGTTGAGAGACGTTTAGATCATTTATTAATCCAGGATCCTTTTGTTTGTGTGGTGATGGTGCCCTCTAGCGGTGAATGGTGGTAAATATTGAGTACATGACGTCAACAGTTCATCTATTTTGCGGCCTGTCGTGATCAGAGTAGCGCCAGACTCAGGGAGTGTGACGTCAACAGTTCATCTATTTTGCGGCCTGTCGTGATCAGAGTAGCTCCAGACTCAGGAGGGAGCGTGGAAGGAGAAGCTGACTTGGGAGCTGGACAATCTTTTCAAGGGCGGTAGGAGCTGAAATTTGGTCGGGTTGCATAAACTGAGCTCTGACTGTGACATCATGGCCTCCTCTTCAGGAAGAAATAGTGAGAATGAGAAGGAATGGATGTTGGCAAAATCATCAAAAATGAAAAAACCACAAAGAAAAAGACACGAGAGAGACAGAAGCTTGTCAGAAGAAAGTGAGTTACGAATAGACATAAATAAAAAGTCTAAAATCAGTACAAGTCCGCGAAATCAAACGCAGGTGGAACTAATTAGGGAAGAGGAATGGAAAGTAATGGTGGAGTTTAATCAAGAGGGAAGATACTTTCATCCAATAAAACTAACAAAGGCAACAGAGGAGGAAATTGGGAAAATAAAATTATCCAGACTCATGAACAACAAAATAATTCTTATACATGCAATCAACAAACAGCAGGACAAAATCTTAAAAATGACTAGTGGGAGAAAGAGTTAAAGTATTTATTCCAGGTTCTTTAAACAGGTTAAGGAGTAATTTCAGGAGTTCCAGTAGAAATGACACCCGAGGAAATGAAACAAGAAACCAGAGGAGGCAAAGTGACAGAAGCAAAAAGGATTACAAGTAAAAAAGATGGAATAATCAAAGAAACAAGGTCTACTTTAATGCACACAATAGTTTATGGGGTAGCAGCAAAACAGACAGTAACGGCAACATTGTTGAAGAAATGATGGATGAAAGATCTCTGGTTTGTCTTAATGATGTCAAGACACACAATTTAATACAATAAAGGTTCAGTCTCATGTTTAGATTTAACTTTAGTATCTGATAAACTTGTAAATCCTGTGAATGGAGATACTACACTGAGGAGTGACCACTTTCCTGTTAGCACAATTATAAATGACAATATAACCAATAAAGAGGAAATAATCTCAAACAGATGGATCTTTAAGAAAGTGAACTGGGAAACTTTTAAAATTAATTGTGAGAAAAATAGTCATTTAGTAAATCTTCACGGAAACATTGATGAATGCAATAACCAGGAAACAGAACTCATTTTAAATGCAGCAAACTCAAGCGTTCCAAAAGTAGTAATAAAAAAAAGTGGTTCCATGGTGGAATGATGAATGTAGTGAAGTAATTAAAGAAAGAAACAAGGCTCTAAAACATTACAGAAAAATATGAATGAAGAAAACCTTAGATTTTAAAAAGAAAAGGGCAGTAGCTCGTAGAACCATTAAAGAGGCAAAAAAGAAACTTGGAGGGATTATTGTTCGTCCATAGGATATAAAATAAATTTAAATCAGGTGTGGACAATGATTAAGAAAATGAGTGGGAAAAGAAGTGAAGTTAAAATTCCAGCTTTGATTAAAAATAACGAGATAATGGTTTCAGATAAAGACGAGGCTGATTCTGTGGGTGAGGCGTTTGCTGCAGTCCACAGTGGAGAACATCTGGATAATGATCAGAGGCAGCAGAAGGAACAAAAACTCAAAACACTCAGTAACGTAGGAGAGAAGAAAAATAGATCCATGTCAACACTTGATGAACATAGAACTATGAAAGAAATCAAAATGGTGTTAAAAGATATTCAGCTCCAGGAGAGGATAGCCTGTGTTACATCATGTTTAGACATTTACCGGAAACAACGTTAAATATCATTCTAAAACTATTCAATAAAATATGGAAAGAAGGAACATTACCAAAGAGCTGGAAAAGAGCCATAATTCTACCATTTAATAAACCAGGGAAAGATCCAACAAGTTCAGACAACTACAGACTCATAGCTTTAACTTCTCATTTGTGTAAACTGATGGAGAAAATATTAGTAAACAGATTAATGTACGTCCTGGAAAAAAGAGAACTTATTAATAATTATCAATGTGGTTTTAGAACTGGTCGGTCCACAGTACATGCACTGGTAAGAGTATGTAATGATATAGAAAAAACACTAAAAATGAAAGAAATGATGATCATAGTATTCTTTGACATAGAAAAAGTTTATGATTCTATGTGGAGGGAAGGGCTGCTAATAAAACTAGAACAAATGGGAATAGATGGGAGGAGTTATAACTGGATTGCCAGCTTCTTTCAGGATAGGACAATTAAAGTAAAAGTTGGGGGTGAATTATCAAGACACTTCAAAGTGGAAAACGGCGCCCCTCAAGGCAGTGTAATTAGTCCTGTTTTATTCAACATTATGATTAACAACATATTTGCAAAGCTTGACGGAGGCATCAAATCAGCTTTATATGCAGATGATGGAGCAATGTGGATGAGGGGGAGAAATGTTCCACATGTCGTTAAAAACATAAGAAAAGCAGTTAATCAAATAGAGAGCTGGTCGTATGAATGGGTTTCAAACTGTCTGTAAGCAAAACCAGCTACATGATGATTACAAACAAAAAGAAGATAAATATTGGAAATCTCTTATTATATGGACAACCTTTAAAAATGGTTAATGAATTTAAATATCTAGGTATATGGTTAGACAGTTCATACACATGGCCAACACATTTAAAACAGGTGGAAACAAAGTGTAAGAAAGTCATTAATCTAATGAAAGCAGTGGCAGGAAACAACTGGGGAGCAGATAAACAATCACTTTAAAATATCTACAGAGCTCTAATGAGATCAACTTTGGACCATGGATGCATCGTGTATGGAGCAGCAGCAAATACAACACTAAATAAACAAATTAGCTGGATTATATGGAATAGAAAATAAAGATTTTGCACAGATTAGTCCAAACAGTGTTATTTCTCCATGGCTAATTCCAGAAAGTAAAGCAGACATGAAAATTCTTGAAATGAAAAGAGAATGGAACAAAAATGAAATGGGGTGAAAACCAGCAAATACATTAGAGAGACATATTTTAATTACCTGGAAATATATACAGATGGCTCAAAAAACACAAAGGGGTGGGTGGGAATATAGGGGTTTATATTCCAGAGTTTGAAGTTTGTACTTCTAAAAGAATTTCTGATCATCTTTCAGTTTTCACAGCAGAAATGGTGGCAGCCATATTTAGTCTACAGTGGACAGAGGAAGTTAGACCGGACAGGGTGGTGATATGCACCGACTCAAAGGCTGTCATAGAAATCATTCAGTCTAAAGGAAACGACAGGAAACATCTACAGCTCGCATTGTTCAGGTGACACAGGGGAGGCGTGGACGTTCAGTTGTGTTGGGTGCCAGCACATGAGGGGTGGAAGGAAACGAAAGAGCAGATAAACTCGCTAAAAAAGCATTAAAAGGTGAAATAACAGTAAATATTCCATTAGGGAAAGGAGAGGATAAATCATTAATTAAAGAAAAAGAAATAGAGAAATGGCAGAAAACGTGGAATGAGGACAAGAAAGGAAGAAGATTATATAAAATTCAAAAAGCAGTTAAGATAAGTAATTATAAAGAAAGAAGTAGAAGAGAAGAGGTGATGATAATGAGAATGAGAGTTGGACATGCACTCCTAAATGATACAATGTTCATGATGGGGAAAAGGAATAACAGTCGATGTGAGGAAACAGAAAGTGTGGAACATGTTCTGATGGAGTGCATTAAATATTCAGAAGAAAGGGAGAGATTGAAAGAAAAAGTCAAAGAGGCAGGAGAGTGTGGAGTATAGGAGGAATATTAGGAACAGAAGGGGAGAAGGATAAAATAAGTAATGTTAGAAAAGAGTTGTTTATATATTTGCACAACATAAATATTAAAAATAGAATTTAGGGAAAGGAGGCCATGAGTTACACACTCTTGCCCAGTAGGTGGCGGTATGCACCTGAACGTTGTTTGCAATCCGCCAATTAAACAAGAAGAAGAAGAAGAAGAAGAAGAAGAAGAGTAGCTACAAATGAATGTATAAATGTAGCTACGTGAATTACTTCAATTACTAATCGGAAAATACGTCTCGTTAGTTAAGTCTTTTATGATGTGATTTTGTTCCAAGCTGCTGCTGCCAGAGGCTTGTAACGCTGCAGCTTATTATACGTGGAGAGTAAGTTGGTCCGTTATCGTATGTAGCTGTTAGCATCGGTAGCTGTTAGCATCGGTAGCTGTTAGCATCAATAGCTGTTAGCATCGGAAGTTGTTAGCATCGGTAGCTGTTAGCATCGGTAGCTGTTAGCATCAATAGCTGTTAGCATCGGTAGCTGTTAGCATCGGTAGCTGTTAGCATCAGAAGTTGTTAGCATCGGTAGCTGTTAGCATCTGTAGTTAGCATCGGTAGCTGTTAGCATCGGTAGCTGTTAGCATCGGTAGCTGTTAGCAGCGCATCGTGCTCGGATAAATCCATCGTGGTGACTGTATCTTTGTTTTTCTGTGTAGGAGCAGGAGCTACATGTCAGATCAACGACCACACATGTTTGTTCTAACAGGTATGTTTATAATTCTAGTTTAAAATTGTTCAATATGATTTTGTGATGCGGATATGTAGAAAGTTTTCTGGTGCTTGTTTTATTGTTTGTCTGAAAGGAGTTGTTTTCATCATAACCGTCTGTAATGTGGTAAATGTTGCAAAAAAGAGAGTTGATGAACGCGCTTGGGTTTAGTTCCATGTGAATTACTTTATCAAAACAATACGGTCACATTGTGAAGAGCAGCTGTCCTGTTTGCTGTTTACGGTCCAGATGTTTAAAGTGGCTTTAAATTTAAACATCTGCTAAGTTCCTGGCAAAAACCAATGCAGACTATTTTTAGTTTTCTACACCACCTTGTAATCTAGGTGTTTTTTCCACTACTTTTCCTTTTAATTCTCCTTTTTAATCACCATTTTAATTTCACTTGTTAAAATAATAATAAATTTGTACGCATTCTTTATGGTTGTTGTTGTCGTTGTTGTCGTTGTTTGTTAAAATGCATGTCTCTCTTGTAAATGAGTCCCTGAGGCTCAATGGGATTAATCTGTATAAATAAAGGTTGAATGAAAAGCCACTTAAACCACCACTTAAGTCCAGTGTTGCCAGATAGAGTCGAGGTTTTCCAGCCTAAAAATCTGTTAAAAACTGCCACATCACACGTACACAATACCCCCCTCCTCCTGTAAAGATACATTGGTGTCTATTTGTTCATCAATGTGATTAATCAAAATTAGTTAAATGTTAACGTTAGTTCTCTTTATTCAGAAAATCAACACATCACATTTTAGGATCTGGTTATTACAAGACACAGATTAAATGTTAAATATAAATATTTCTAAATTTATCCCCACAGTAATATTGTTACACACAGTAGTTGTAAACACTCAAAATAATACACAAGTTGTTTAGTGCTTACCTATAATTGAAACATTTAAGGAGTAAACATTTTAAATAATCACTTTAAAAGTTACAGATGTTGTCTTTGGTGCTCGTTTGTTTTCCAAATATATTCGTGTGAATGACGGATTAAAATAAAACCCTTTGTGGAACGGTGCTTTATGAAGTTCAGTCCGTTTTATTTGACCGGCAGTTGGCCCTGGCAGATGACAACAGCCAGTCAGTGATGGAGAAAGTTTCAGGGGAGATTTGCTATTAACCATTATTGATAAATGATCGGTTGAAATGTGTTTAATAGGTTAACTCAAAAACCGCTGGTCCAACTCCAAATCCGCCCAAATGATCCCCATCTGCTGAAAGCCACTGAATCAGAATGAAAACCGCCCAATTGGTGGTAAACCGCCCAATCTGGCAACACTGCTTAAGTCAGCCCTCACATTTTTTTTTTTTTCATTTAGCCTTTATTTGTACAGGTAGTCTCATTGAGCCACGAGAACTCCTTTTCTAGAGAGACCTGTTTGGGGAGCAGATGGTGGTTAAGGGCCTTGCTCATGGGCAGAGTGGGGCGAATGAGGGTGGGGCAAATGTGGGTGCTTCACCTACCCCACCCACATTTTTGATGTTGTCGATACCGGGGTGACATTTAAAGCATTTTAACATCAAATATTTCTTTGTGCAGGTGAATTTAGAGAACTACAAGAGTTTTGTGTTATTTGTCAACGTAAACCAAATTCACTGGAGGTTTCTGGTTAGTGTGCAAAAAGTGATACTTATTGTTCTCTCAAAACACATGAATTAAAAGTTTCATATTTTGATTTGTGCAGAAATGCTGTGAATCACAGTCTTTCCAGTGGATCAAGTTCAGCAGAAGACGGATTCAAAACCTTCTGCAAAATCATTTAGGTAAGTATTTATTAACAGATAGAGGAGAAAAGCTTAAAACTGAATTTTATAGGTGCTGGTCTTAAAATCAGAATATCGTGAAAAAGTTGATTTATTTCAGTAATTCCATTCAAGAAGTGAAACTTATATATTATATTCATTAATTACACACAGACTGATATATTTCAAATGTTTATTTCTTTTAATGTTGATGATTATGACTGACAACTAATGAAAACCACAAATTCAGTATCTCAGAAAATTAGAATATTGTGAAGGTTCAATAATGAAGACACCTGGTGTCACACTCTAATCGGCTAATTAACTCAAAACACCTGCAAAGGTCTTTAAATTGTCTTAGTCTAGTTCTGTAGCTACACAATCATGGAGAAAACTGATGACTTGACACTTGTCCAAAAGATGATCACTTGCACCTTGCACAAGGAGGGCAAGACACAAAAGGTCATTGCTAAAGAGGATGGCTGCTCACAGAGCTCTGTGTCCAAGCACATTAGTAGAGAAGGAAAAGATGTGGTAGAAAAAAGTGTGCAAGCAATAGATATAACCACATCCTGGAGAGGATGGTGAAACAAACCCCACTCTGAAATGTGGGGGAGATTCACAAAGAGTGGACTGCAGCTGGAGTCAGTGCTTCAAGAACCACCATGCACAGACGTATGCAAGACATGGGTTTCAGCTGTCACATTCCTTGTGTCAAGACACTCTTGAACAAGAGACGGCGTGAGAAGCATCTCACCTGGGACTGCTGCTGAGAGGTCCAAAGTTATGTTCTCTGATTAAAGTAAATTTTGCATTTCCTTTGTAAATCAAGGTCCCAGAGTCTGGAGGAAGAGAGGAGAGGCACAGAATCCATGTTGCTTGAGGTCCAGTGTCAAGTTTCCACAGTCAGTGATGGTTTGGGGTGCCATGTCATCTGCTGGTGTTGGTCCACTGTGTTTTCTGAGGTCCAAGGTCAACGCAGCACCTACCAGGAAGTTTTACAGACTTCCTGCTTCCTGCTGCTGACCAACTTTATTGAGATGTAGATTTCATTTTTCAACAGCACTTGGCACCTGCACACAGTGCCAAAGCTACCAGTACCTGGTTTAAGGACCATCATATCCCTGTTCCTAATTGGCCGGTAAACTCACCTGATCTTAACCCCATAGATTGTGAAGAGGAAGATGTGATACACCAGACCCGCCAATTCAGAAGAGCTGAAGGCCATGATCAGAGCAAGCTGGGCTCTCAGAACACCTGAGCAGTTCCACAGACTGATGGACTCCATGTCACGCTGCATTGCTGCAGTGATCCAGACACAAGGAGCAACAACTAAGTATTGATGCTGCACATGCTCGTACTTTTCATGTTCATACTTTTCCGTTAGCCAACATTTCTAAAAATTCTTAAGTAATATGCTAATTTTCTGAGATACTGAATTTGGGGTTTTCATTAGTTGTCAGTTATAATCATCAACACTAAAAGAAATAAACATTTGAAATATATCGGTCTGTGTGTAATGAATGAATATAATACACAAGTTTCACTTTTTGAATGGAATTACTGAAATAAATTAACTTTTTAATGACATTCTAATTTTAAGACCAGCACCTGTACATGGTGAGCTGGTTTTTAAATGATTTTAGTTGCTGTTGTGGCCATGAAGGCCGACTGAATCATTAATAGCTGGTGAAGATTCTCAGTCATCCAGGACATGGTAACTTCAAAATAGTTCAAGAAAAAAAACAAAGTATAATAAATAAAGTCTAGTTGTTTTTGTCTTGAACTTTTTTGAATTTGTCATTATAGCCCCGTTTACTTATTACATGATACAACGGCATGCCATACAGCTACTACTACTCTGCTACCATCAAGTGGCTTTAAGTGGTACTGCTCAATTTTTTTCAGTCAGAATGAATGAAAACGATCATATCTCAGCCAAAAAATGGTTTATAAATATGGGAAAAAATCCATAAATATGTCGCTGCCCGGCAACGGACTGTTTTGTTTGCGACACCAATGTATAAAATTTCCCATCTTCATCCCTGATCTGGCCTATTCTTTTGGCTTTTGCCAAGAGGAAAGCCATCTCTTCCTCCTCCTCCTCCATTTCAAAAACTAAACTAAGTTTCGAAAAATGTAAAAAATGATGAAGGCCAGCAGCTGACACCATGATTTAATTCAGTTCATTTATATAGCTCCAAGTAGGGCAGGGCCATGTCATATCATTCACGATGATACCGGTAAAAAACATGCACTGGAAAATAAATGATATCATGATATGCTAATTTCATGGCGTAAATGCGTCAGTGTCTCCCCTACCATTATACAAGCAGGGCGCCCCGTTAACTGAACCGAGCGCGCTGAACTACCGAACCGAACTGCGCCCTCCTCCCACCTGTCTGTACTGGCGTAACGTTAAGCTAGCTGCGCGCAATCCTAGCTAGCTAAAAAGCAAAAAACAAACGCGTGCAGCTCAACTGTGTCTCTTGAGTTCCACAGTCCATGGACCAAGAACAGAGTCATGTGATCAGAGACGGAGCATCAGAGAAGTGAATCATTCCTGCAGGAACAGAGGGAACGCCACAAGCTTCAGGCTCAGATGATCACCTTGTTACAAGTTCTGGAAGTTATAGCTCATTTAAAGGCAACATATATTTTGTTGTACGTTACATTTATGCTCAACAGATCTTAAGCTTTAATTTCATTTAGTTATTTTGAGAAACTTCACCTGCACTTTAGTTTTTATGGTGGATTTATTGATCTATATTTTGTACAGACTTTGTCAATCTAAATAACAGAAGGATCATTTTTATTTTTATACTTTGAGACTGAATATTTTACTAAATAAAGTAATTTCAGTAAAATTAATAGTATTTTTAATTTTTATATAATACTGCAAAGCAACATGTTAATTTTGTCAAGTGAATAACTATTATTTTTTTGTTTTTTGTTACATCACAGAATTTCTTATCGTCAGAATGCTCTGAAATATCACAATAGTATGTTTGAGCTATATCGCCCACCCCTAGCTCCAAGTCACAACATAAGTCATCTCAAGGCACTGTACAGAAACATTCATATACATAAATAGTAAGTTAATAACATCATTTATCTGAAGAACAGACTGCTTTGAGTTAAACTTCCATCGCAAACTCTCATCTTGAGCATAAAGGCAACCGAGCTGGAGAGATGGCAGTGAGGTTTCTGTCTCAAATATTTAGTGGCATATCTGAGGGTGAGAAAATGCCTCAGGAATGGAGAAGTGTGCTGGTGGCCATTTTTAAGAACAAGGGTGATGTACAGAGTTGAAGCAACTACAGGGGAATTAAGTTGATGAATCACACAAAGAAGATCTGGGAGAGTTGTGGAAGCAAGACTTAGACGAGAGGTGTCTATCTGTGAGCAGCAGAATGTTTCATGCCAAGAAAGAGCATCACAGATGCATCTTTGTTTTGAGGATGCTGATGGAGAAGTACAGAGAGGGTCAGAAAGAACTCCAGTGTGTCCTGATGCATGCTCAATAATCCAGGTAGAATAGTCTGGTCCTCTGGACATTCAAAAAACAAAACAAAGCAAAACAACAACAACCCAAAAAAATCTAGAAACGTTTCGTCTTTCATCCGAAAGACTTCTTCAGTCTGAGGTGCTGTATTCAGCTCAGTCTTATAAATAGCACCTTCTCAGATTGGATCAACCAGTTTGCTGCTGACAACCAAAACCAGCTGCTCACATGTTCAAGGAGGACCGTCAGCCTAACAATGGATCATTAGCACCCTGAACTCCATTGTGTCTTTGTGGATGTAGAAAAAAACATCTGACAGGTTGCAGAGGGAGAAGGTGTGGTGTTGCATGATGAAATTTGGAGTGAAAGAGAAGTATATTAGACTGGGACAGGACATGTATGGGGACAGCAGGACATGTTAGACTGGGACAGGACATGTATGAGGACAGCAGGACATGTTAGACTGGTACAGGACATGTATGAGGACAGCAGGACATGTTAGACTAGTACAGGACAGCAGGACATATTAGACTGGGACAGGACATGTATGAGGACAGCAGGACATGTTAGACTGGGACAGGACATGTATGAGGACAGCAGGACATGTTAGACTGGTACAGGAC